CCTGCACCCACGTGGGAGACCCAGAAGAAGCTCCTGACTCCTGGCTTTGGATTGGCACGGCTCTGCCATTGCGGCCAAATGGGGAGTGAACCGGCAGATGGAACACACACACACACTCTCTCTCTCTCTCTCTCTCTCTCTCTCTCTCTCTGCCTCTCCTCCCTCTGTGTAACTCTGACTTTCAAATGAATAAATAAATCTTTTAAAAAAAGAAATGAAAGTCAACAAACCCAAAAGCTGATTACCTGAAAATACTGATAAAATTAATAAGCTTCCAGAAAAGATAACTAAGAAAAAAAGAGACAGGAAACAAATTACTGGTATCAGGAATGAAAGAGGAAACATACTAATCCCAAAGACATTTTAAAGATAATCAAGGATCTTATAAATAATTCTATACTCACAAACTTGGTAACCTACATTAAATAATTTCTTTAAAGACAATTTCTAGAACTGAAAAGAATGTATCAGAAAGACAATCTAAATAGGATTATATCTATTGAAGAAGTGGAATCAATTATTAATAACCCTCTAAAACAAAAAAGCATTAAGCCCAGATGGCTTCACTGGTGAATTCTATCAACGTTTAAGGAAGAAACTATACTAATTCTGTACAATCTCTTTCAGAAGCATAAGCAGGAAGAATGCTTCCTAATTCATTCTCTGAATCCAACATTAATACCAACTAGACACCCATATTAAAAAAAATTAGACACAGACCTTACATCCTTCACAAAACTTAAAATGGATCATAGACATAAATGTAAAACTACAAAACTACGAGATTACATAGGAGAAACTGTAAATGCATTTGGTATGATGATGACTTTTTAAATACATTGCCAAAGGCACAATTGATAAAAAAAATTGATAAACTGGACTTTCAATGAAAAAGCTTAAAAATTATCTGTGGTAGCAGGCATTTGTCCTAGTAAAGACCTCAGTTAACAGATCCACATCCCACATCAGAGTACCTGGATTTAATACCTGACTCGAACTTCTGACTCAAGTTTCCTACTAATGTAGACCCTGGGAGGCAGCAGTGATGGCTCTGTCACCTGTGTGGGAGACCTGTATTGAGTTCCTGGTACTGTCTTGTTCCTGGTACAGCTTGTCTCAGTCCTGGATGTGTGGGTACTTGGGTAGTGAACCAGCAGATGGGAGTGCTGTTTCTTACTCTCTCCCTCCTTCTCAAATACAGAAGTTTTTTAACAAACTTTAATGATCTGTGATATATACTCTTGAGAAATTGGGAAGATAAGTGAGACTGGGAGAAAATATTTGCAAAAGATAAATCTGATAAGTTATTGTTATTAAAAATAAAGAACTCTTAAAACTCAAAAATAAGAAAACCAACCTGATTTTAAAATGGGCAAAAGACTTCAACAGATACCACACCAAAAAAGATAGGTTGCAAATAAACCTAAGACATCCACAGCATGTGTTATTGGGGGTTACAGTTTAAAACAATGAGGGGCCTGCATTGTGGCAGGCAGGTTCAGGCGCTGCCTGCAACACTGGAATCCCATATTGAAGCACCAGTTTGAGTCCCGGCTACTCTGCTTCTGAGTCAGCTGTTTTTATTTATTTTTTTAGATTTATTTGAAAGAGAGAGAGGTAGAGCCAGAGAGAGAGAGAGAGAGAGAGAGAGAGAGGGAGAGAGGGAGAGAGAGAGAGAGAGAGGGAGAGAGGGAAATCATCCATCCACTGGTTCACTACCCAAATGACTACAACAACCAAAGCTGAGCTGACTGAAGCCAGGAGCCAGGAATTTCTCCCGGAACTCCCATGTGGCTTGGGCCATCTTCTACTGACCTCCCAGGCCATAGCAGAGCTGGATCAGAAGTGGAGCAGCTGGGACTCAATTTGGTGCCCATATGGGATGCCGGCACTACAGGCTGGGGCTTTAATCCGCTGCTCCTGGGAAAGCAGCAGCAGACGATCCAAGAGATTGGATGGAGGTCCTGGCTCCTAGTTTCATTCTGGCCCAGACCTGGCTGTTGTGTCCATTTGGGGAGTAAACCAGCAGATAGAAGATTTTCTTTCTCTCTCTGCCTCTTTCTGTCATTCTGCCTTTCAAGTAAGTAAAATAAATCTCTAAAAATAAATAAACAATGAGGGGCCATCGTTGTGGCATAGCAGGTTAAAGCCCCGGCCTGCAGTGCTAGCCTCCCACATGAAGGCCAGTTCAAGTCCCAGCTGCTCCACTTTTGATACAGCTCCCTGCTAATGTGCCTGGGAAAGCAGCAGAGGATGGCCCAAATCCTTGAACTCCTGCACCCATGTGAGAGACCCGTAAGAATCTCCTGGGTTTGGATTAGCTCAGTTCCATCCATTGTAGCCATTTAGGGAGTAAACCAGTGGATGGAAGACCTCTCTCTCTCTCTCTCTAACTCTGCCTTTCCAATAAGTAAAAATAAATTTTTTTATAAAAAATTTAAAAAACAATGAAATATCATTAAACAACTATTAGAAATGAACAAACTCCAAAAGATTGGCAACATCAAATACTGACAAGGATGTGGAGCAACAGAATTCCCATTCATTGCTGTTGGGAATGCAAAACTAAACATACTCTTCCCACATGATCCAGCAACTATGCTCCCTAATATTTGCCTAAATGAGTTGAAAACATCTCCACATAAACCTGTGCATGGATGCTACAGCGGCTTTATTTGCAATCTCCAAACTTTGAAGCAACCAAGCTAACCTTTAGGAGATGAATGAATAAATTATGGTATTCCAAACAATGGAATGTTACCCAGTACTAAAAACAAATGAGCCATCAAGCCCTAAGTGGACCTGGGGCCAGGGAGGGAGGATTAAATGTGTATTACTAAGTGATAGAAGCCCATCTGAAAAGGCGTGTACTGGATGCTCTCAACTACGTGCCATTCTGGAGACAGAAAAAGATCAGTGATTGCTAGGGCTTAGATGGTAGAAAACAGATGATTTAAAGGGCAGTGAACTGTTCTATATGACACTATAATGAAGGAAGCAAACCCACACTAAGACTGAACCTACTGTAGACTGGTGACTCTGAGTGACAATATGTCAATGTGGGGTTATCACTTGTCACAGGTGCACCGCAGTGGTACAGGACACCAGCAGTGAGGATGTGCACTGTGGTGTCAAGAGAGCATCTGGGAAATCTCAGCTCAGTTTTTCTGTGAACCTAAAACTGCTCTAAAAAAAGTATTTTTTTTTATTTTTATTTTTTGCCAGGCAGAGTTAGAGAGTGAGAGAGAGACAGAGACAGAGTTACAGACAGTGAGAGAGACACAGAGAAAGGTCTTCCTTCCGTTGGTTCACTCCCTTAAAGGCTGCTACAGCCGGTGTGCCAGGTCAATCCGAAGCCAGGAGCCAGGTACTTCCTGCTGGTCTCCCATGCGGGTGCAGGGCCCAAGCACTTGGGCCATCCTTCACTGCCTTCCCGGGCCACAGGAGAGAGCTAGACTGGAAGAGGAGCAACCGGGAACAGAACTCAGGGTGCTGGCGCCACAGGTGGAGGATTAGCCAAGCGAGCCACAGTGCAGGCCTAAAAGTCTTTTTAACAATAAACTATCAGGAGGACCGGCGCTGTGGCGTAGTGGGTAAAGCCTCCATCTTCAGTGCCAGCATCCCATTTGGGTGCCAGTTCAAGTCCTCTGTAACTCCACCTCTCAAATAAACAAACCCTCTACCCACAAATTCTGGTAATTCTAAGGCTGTAATATTTTTGAGCCATTTTGTTAATTTTCGTACATGTTTAAGATTTATATGGCCGGCGCCGCGGCTCACTAGGCTAATCCTCCACCTAGAGGCGCCGGCACACCAGGTTCTAGTCCCGGTCGGGGCGCCGGATTCTGTCCCAGTTGCCCCTCTTCCAGGCCAGCTCTCTGCTGTGGCCCAGGAAGGCAGTGGAGGATGGCCCAAGTCCTTGGGCCCTGCACCCCATGGGAGACCAGAAGAAGCACCTGGCTCCTGGCTTCGGATCAGCGTGGTGCGCCGGCAGCAGCGCGCCAACCGTGGCGGCTATTGGAGGGTGAACCAATGGCAAAAGGAAGACCTTTCTCTCTGTCTCTCTCACTATCCACTTTGCTTGTCCAAAAAAATAAAATAAAATAAAATTATTATTTATTTGAAAGACAGAATTACAGAGGTAGAGACAGAGAGAGAGGTCTTCCATCCGCTGTTTTACTCCCCAGATGGCCACAATGGCCGGAGCTGCGCCAATCCGAAGGCAGGAGCCAGGAGCTTCTTCCTGGGTCTCCCAAGTGGGTGCATGGGCCCAAGGACTTGGGCCATCTTCTACTGCTTTCCCAGGCCATAGCAGAGAGCTGGATCAGAAGTGGAGCAGCCGGGACTCGAACTGGCACACATATAGGATGCCAGCACTTCAGGTCAGGGCTTTAACCCGCTGCGCCACAGTGCCGGCCCCAGGTTATAATATTTTTTTTTTAAGTTTTAACTATTTATTTGAAAGGCAGAGTTACAGACAGGCAGAGGCAGAAAGAGCGCGCGAGAGAGAAGTCTTCCATCTGCTGGTTCACTCCCCAGATGGCCGCAACGGCCGGAGATGTGCCAATCTGAAGCCATGAGCCTGGAGCTTCTTCCAGGTCTCCCATGTGTGTGCAGGGGCCCAAGGACTTGGGCCATCCTCTACTGCTTCCCCAGGCCATAGCAAAGCTGGACTGGAAGTGGAGCTGCCGAGACTTGAACTGGTGCCTATATGGGATGCTGGCACTGCAGGCGGTGGCTTTAACCACTATGCCACAATGCCAGCCCTGGTTATAATACTTTTAAAAATAAAATAAACTATTAAAATTAGGAAAAAACTTCCATTCCTAGATGAATACATTGATGTATCTCTCCCCACCTTATCCATTTTTGTGAGATTAAGATGTAACAATCTGAGGTTCAGCTGATTCCTTATACTGAAATCCAAGTGCGATATAACACTTTTGCACCAGTTTGTACAATAATTTATGATGGAATTTCTTTATTTCACTTCTATATAGATGAAGTACAATAAAAATCAAAGTGACTGCATGATTTCCACAATGAGGAGTCAAGTAACTGATGTAAAAACTGTTTTGACACAAAATATTGAAATAATTTTGGAAAAAGAAGAAAAATCGAATATCTACCTTGATAGTACAGATGATCTCCAAACACCTGTAAGTGATTCTCACCTGCATTGATGTCCAAACAGTGTTCTAAGTCAGCATTGATGACCTTAAGATAAATTGCCCAAACAAAAATATGCTAAGCATGCTCTAAGACAATCTTATGTCACCAACCTATGACTTTATCCAAAGATTCTTCAAATGCAACTCAAGTATTAAAAGATTATAAAACAGGCCGGCGCCGCGGCTCACTAGGCTAATCCTCCGCCTAGCGGCGCCAGCACACCAGGTTCTAGTCCCGGTCAGGGCGCTGGATTCTGTCCCAGTTGCCCCTCTTCCAGGCCAGCCCTCTGCTGTGGCCAGGGAGTGCAGTGGAGGATGGCCCAGGTGCTTGGGCCCTGCACCCCATGGGAGACCAGGAAAAGCACCTGGCTCCTGGCTCCTGCCATCGGATCAGCGCGGTGCGCCGGCCTCAGCGCGCCGGCCGCGGCGGCCATTGGAGGGTGAACCAACGGCAAAGGAAGACCTTTCTCTCTGTCTCTCTCTCTCACTGTCCACTCTGTCAAAAAAAAAAAAAAATTTTTTTTAAAAATTATAAAACAATCTAAATTTAAAAACCCATGAATTAAGAGGTGATCAATTGAATAGAAGAATTCCTTTCATTCAGAAACATACAGATTAATCAACAAATAAATTACAAAAGAAAGAAGAGAGGGAACTTAAAAAAATATAAGATTAATAACTTGCAATGTCTGGTCCTTATTTGAATTTATAACCGTGTAAAATAGTTAGATATTTGAACTCTGCCTAGTTATTACTTGGCATTTAGGAAAAATTAATTTGTAGGTATGATATTGGATTGTGGTCATGCTTTTAAGAGTCATTATTTATTAAAGATTTATACTAAAATTTTTATGACAAATTATGTAACATCTGGCATTTGCTTCAGAATTAATGAGTAGAGGGAAAATACAATGGGATATAAATGAAACAAAAATTGGCTAGGAATTGAAAATTATTGAAACCGGATGTTGAGTATATAGGAATCATTATATCATTTTGTCAACTTAATATGTGTTTGGAATTCTCCACTAGAAAATAGTTTGGGCCAGGCCGGCACCGCGGCTCACTAGGCTACTAATCCTCCACCTTGCGGCGCCGGCACACCGGGTTCTAGTCCCGGTCGGGGCGCCGGATTCTGTCCCGGTTGCCCCTCTTCCAGGCCAGCTCTCTGCTGTGGCCTGGGAGTGCAGTGGAGGATGGCCCAGGTCCTTGGGCCCTGCACCCCATGGGAGACCAGGAGAAGTACCTGGCTCCTGCCATTGGATTGGCGCGGTGCGCTGGTTGCAGCGCGCCGGCCGCGGCGGCCATTGGAGGGTGAACCAACGGCAAAGGAAGACCTTTCTCTCTGTCTCTCTCTCTCTCACTGTCCACTCCTGTCAAAAAAAAAAAAAAATAGTTTGGGCCAGCGCCGCGGCTCAATAGGCTAATCCTCTGCCTTGCAGCGCCAGCACCCCAGGGTTCTAGTACCGGTTGGGACACTGGATTCTGTCCCGGTTGCCCCTCTTCCAGGCCAGCTCTCTGCTGTGGCCTGGGAGTGCAGTGGAGAATGGCCATAGTGCTTGGGCCCTGTACCCCATGGGAGACCAGAAGCACCTGGCTCCTGGCTTCAAATCAGCGTGGTGTGCCAGCACACTGGCCGCAGCAGCCATTGGAGGGTGAACCAACGGTAAAGGAAGACCTTTCTCTGTCTGTCTCACTGTCCACTCTGCCTGTCAAAAAAAAAAAAAAAAAAAAAGTTTGAAAACTATTAAATTGTTCCCTTGGAGCATCTTCAATTTTGTCTTTATATATATCTTTTCTAAAAATAGCACCACTTTGTAAAAGCAAAGTATGCATATACCAAGTTCCACTGATTCTACTTCCTAAATGCTTTTATTGAGGTACTACTGACATGTAATAGTCACTCACGTTAGCATTTGATGAATTTACATATTGTGTGTAACCACAATCAGTAAATGAAATGGTTGCTTCATCCTAGTGTTTCCCTCATGCCCTCTGAGGTTGGCTCAGCCCCCAACAGCCCTAGCCAACGCTGATCTGCTGTTTCTACAGTTTTGTCCTTTCTAGAATTCCATATAAATAGAATCATACAGTATTTAGTCTTCTGTGTTTGACTTCCTCATTTAGCATTGTTTCTTATAATCATGTATGCCAGCTCTTAACGTTTCATTGCTGAATAGTATTCCACAGAATGGCTGAGTCTTCTTTAAATTCCTCTTCTGCCCATACCCATGCTGCCCTCTGCCTCAATCCAAGCTCTGTCTCATCAGACTCTGGAAACCCCCGATTTCCTTGTCTGTAATTCCCAACACCAGTCATCCTTCACACTCAGTGAGCTTTGTAGGAAGAACAATCATCCTCTGTAGCCTCTAACAAAGCTTCAGCGGTGCCCTCTGTCTACTTGGTGTAGAGTCCCACCTCCCGAACATAACGAGCTTTCTTCCGACTGTATTGCCAGCCACATCACCCAGCTCAGAGACCAGTCTCACTGCTTACAAAATCTTACACTATCCCAAATTATTTGCAACTCTCTGAACTATGTTCACGTTAACACCCTGACACAGGCTGTTGTTCCCTCTCACTGTCCTTGCCGTGGAAAAATCTATGTATCCTCAAAACCCCACTCAAAGGTTATCTCCTAACTATCCATGCTTTTTGCCACTCTCTGCTCCTGTTATTTTTTGATTCATTCAGCAAGTATTTTTGGAGACTATTGTTTTCCAGGCACTGTAATAGGCACTAAGAATACACTGACAAATGTAACAGCCACAACCTCAGCACTTAATTAGGATTTAATGTTCATTAAATACTATTTATTTGAACGAACAAAGAAATCCTCTGCATTATTTTTATAGCAAGAAAAAGAGAAAGTCACATTAGTTTATATAATCTACAAATTATAAAATCAGTTTATATAATCTACAATTAATAAATTACCTAGGGTTGCAATTGTACTTAACAAGATTTATGACATCAGAGTAAAGATAATACTGTTCAAACATTTAGATTCATTCTATATGCATTAACATTCTTTGTATGATATTATGCTGGTTATCTTCAGAAATAATAGAATAAGATACTTGCCACAATTTAAGATACTGCAAGAAAAATTTTGTATAAGTCTGTCATTTAAAGTGTATATCAAATGTCATTCAGATAAAGTGCAACAATGGCAAACAAAGTATTCTCAGAGCATTTTGAAATTGCAGTTATAAAATTCTACAATATTACTTCATTTTGTTAAGTTAGAAAGCAGGTATGATATTTAAATACTGTGTGTCTCAGAGGGAACAGGTAGGAATACTGAGAAAATTGAACTATCTTATTATGAAAGATTTATTTTAAGCATATGGAAAAGTTTTAATATATAATATACCCTTGAAATCATCACCCTGTTTTACAAGGCCCGACAGTCTGGTATGTGCCCTTCTCAAATCCATCTCACTCCTTCAACATAACTATTATGAATTTGATATTAATCATTTGTATGCATGTTTGATTCTTCTTCCATGTATCTGTGTGTTGACAAGTGATATGTAATATTGGTCTGCATTTTTTAAATTTTGGTTTATGTTATAATATACATATCCAGCCACAACCTGAGTTTTGAGTTCAACATTGTTGTTGAAATGTATTCACTTTGATTCACTTAATATATCAACTTAAATTCTTATGGCATACCCTTAATAGTTAAGAAATACAATGGGAACACCCATTATAAACATATAATTTATACAACATAAACTAAAATAAGTAAAGATTAAATGGGACACCAGTGTCCTCTATCGCAGTGCCTAGGTTCAATACCTGGATCCAGCTCCTGAGTCTAGCTTCTTGTAGACCTTGGGAGGCAGCAGTTGGGTCCCTGCCAGCAATCCAGGTGGGTGACCTGGACTGTGTTGCTAAATCTGAGATTGGATGCGCAGACATCTGGGGAATGACCCAGCAGATGGGAGAAATGTGCTGCCACCCCCAACTCCATGTCATGTCTGATCTTTGCCTCCCAAATTTTAAAAATATTTTTTCTTTTACTAAACATTACATTTTGAACAGAACTGCATTGAACATCCTTTTCCATGTGTTATTGTGCACTTTGCAAAAGTGTTTCTAGGACAGTGATCTAAAGATTTTTTGATCACATATACTGTTTCTGGACTGGTGTTGTGGTGTAGCAGGTAAAGCCACTGCCTGTGATGCCAGCATCCCCTATGGGCACCAGTTTGTGTCCTGGCTGCTCCACTTCTGATCCAGTTCCCTGCTAATGCCCTGGGAAAAGCAGCAGAGGATGGCCCAAATGTCTGGGCCCCTGACACCCACATGGTAGACCAGATGAAGCTCCTGGCTTCAGCCTGGCCCAGCCCTAACCATTGTGAATTGGCAGATGGAAGATCTCTGCCTTCCCTATAACTCTTTGAAATAAAAAATAACTCTTTAAAAAATTATGACAACTATACTTATCTGTAAATTATATTCTATAAGAATGTTACATATTATAAAACATAAATTAAATAGGTAAAGATTAAATAGAATGTTAAATCCAATACAGTGCAAGAAATGCTCTACATGAAACCCAAATGATACAAGGAGTGTTCAGTAGTCACCCCTTCCCCAGAAACCCTCTAGCTCTCATGAAATGCCAACTTACAAACCAACCAAGAGGAGGTGTCAGTGAGACTGTTAAATATTAATACGTTTTCATTTCTTTCTTGCTTTGTAGATTAAAGTAAGCAAGTTTGATATTAATTTTTATGCTCTCTGATCATTATATACAACCCATAGAGGTGGGGTGCTTGTATTCTTTTTAAATTGTTTTTACGATTTATTGATTTGAAAAGCAGAGTTACAGAGAGAGAAGAGACAGAGGGATCCTCCATCTACTGGTTCACTCCTCAAATGGCTGCAATGACAAGAGCTGGGATGATACAAAGCTAGGAGCTTCTTCTGGGTCTCCCGCGCAAGTGCAGGGGCCCAAGCACTTGGGCCATCTTCTGCTTTCCCAGGCACATTAGCAGGGAACTGGATTGGAAGTGGAACAGCCGGCACTTAAGCCAGTGCCCATATGGGATGCTTGCTCTGCAAGCAGCGGCTTTACTCACCACAATCACAGCACCAGCCCCTGTGCTGTTTTAGTGACCCTCACTCTATAGACTATCCATAGAAATAGAACTGCCGAAGCTTAAAATATGTGTATATTTTGTTTCACCAAATATTTCAAAATTTCTCTCCAAATTTGTACTTTCACCGATATGTATAAAATTTCCATTCTCCACATTCTCTCCAGGACTTGAGATTATCAGATTTTTAACAATCTAGTGGGAGAAAAATTGCTTTTTGTCTTAACGTATATTTCTCTAACATTAAATAACAAGGAAATTTTATTTATCAACTGTTAGTGTTTCTGCTGTGAATTGCCTGTCCATATCTTTTGCCCATTTTGCTAAAGGATTCTATTAGATATCTTCAAAAAGCTCATGGAAAATAAATACTATAAAAATTCTGCATTATTTCAAAAAATTTTACACCAAGATAAACCTTTTAAATTCACTTTTCTATGAATTTTTTTAAAAATTTTGTTCCTTTTCATTCATTGTGAAAGACAGAGAGATAGAAAGAGACAAAGATATTCAATCAGCTGGTTCACTCTCCAAACGCCTGCAATAGCCAGGCTTGAGCCAGGGCAAAGCCAGGAACCCAGAACTCAATTTATGTCTCCCTTGCAGGCAGAAGGGACCCAAAGACTTGAGCCATCATCTGCTGCCTCCCAAGGGCATAGGCATCAGCAGGAGGCTGGATCAGAAGTGGAGAAACGGGAACTGGAACCAGACACTCAAAATAGGATGAATTCCCAATTAGCATCCCAACTGCTGTACCAAACACCCACTCTTCCATGAACTTTTTTAAAGTACTCTCATATAAAAAGTCTTAGCACCTTGCATGGCAACTTCACCTACTTTATACTTTGTAAAATTTTGGTTGGCAGTTAGTTCTTTCTTTGAATTACAAGCTGCATCTCAAGTTGTATACACACATACTCAACAAATATTAATGTTAATTCAAATTACATTAATATGAGAATTGACCTTTCTTTCAATTGTACTTATTTTTTGAAAGGCAGGGTGGGGGGAAGTGAGACAGAGAGGGAGAAAGACAGAGGATCTTATATCTGCTGTTTCACTCCCTAGATGCCCACAACAGCTGGGGCTGGGCCAGGCATTGGAGGCTGGTTTGTCAGCCATGCAACATCATAAAGCAGGTTTTCAGCAAGCAGACTTCCACTTCTTGATTTGCCTTTTACTTTCAGCCTCAGTTTTAGTTTCAGATAGCATCTGCTCAAACAAGGAACAGAGAAAGTATACTTGCATATTAGCCTCTTCAGCCCAAAAGTGATACCCACTACTTCTATTCATGTTCTATAGGAGCAACAGTAAGGCAAAGTGTGGCCAGCATAGGATGGAAGGGACTGAGAATTGTAGACTGGTTGGAAGTCACTTGCCAGCAACAACTCTGCATGATGGAGGGGAACTCGTGTCATTGGTAGAGAGATGGCTGTCTTTAGCACATCTGCACCAAGGGGAATTCTAAAGGAAGCATTTCAGGTAGATGGAAAATAGTCTCAGATAAAGTCAGAGTTTCAGCAAAAAAAAAAGCTAAAATGGAAACAGTATAAGTAATTCTCAATGAACACTGACTGAAGTATGGTGGTGAGAAGTCGCTGGATTCTGGATATATTGTGAAAGTGGAGTGAACTAGAATTGCTGACAGGTGGGACGTAGAGTAAGAAGTCAAGGAAGAACCCTAGGGCTCTGAGCCTGGTAAACAGGAAGGATGGAGTTCAGGGTAGTTCCACTGCACTCCTGTGCCCCAGGACTGAACTTCCTGCCCCCTATGAGCACCAAAATCCCAGGCTGTGGATGACAGGGACCAACAGCGCCATCACTCTCCCAAGTGCAAAGCAGTTACAGTGTGTCAGTGTGAAGTTTCACTGCACCTGGCCTTTTTCTTATTTTCTTCCAAATTCACCATGCATTTAAGTTTGCTTTTTTAAAAAAAATATTTTTTCAGTTACTTATTTGAGAGAGAGAGAGAGTTACAAAGAGAGGGAGAGACAGAGAGAGAGGTCTTCCATACACTGGTTCACATGGCCACAATGGCCAAAGCTGGGCCAATCCAAAGCCAGGAGCTAGGAGTTTCCCACACAGGTGCAGGGGCCCAAGCGCTTGGGCCATCTTCTACTGCTTTCTCAGGCCATAGCAGAGAGCTGGATCTTAAGAGGAGCAGCCTGGATATGAACTGGCGCATATTTGGGAGGCCTGTGCAGCAGGCAGAGGCCTAGCCCACTACACCACAGCTCCAGCCCCTTTAGTTTGCTTCTTACGTTTTATCTAGCATTTCTGGGCAGCAGTGATGGCAGGGTTATAGAGACATTATAACCCACCATGTGAATGGATCTATTGTTTTTTTTTATTAGATATATTTTTTGTCATTCTCATAGAAAAGAGGCAACATATAAATCCCAGAAAAATAAATGACTTTATTTCACCTTACAGCCTTACCTGCCAATCCTAATTTTATGTATATGCTTTCATAAAGAAAATATGACTTCCTCTTTGAAACTAGCTGAGAAGCAGTTCAATAGGAGATGGTATTTGACTACTGTTTATAGTTTTTCTAATGTAATTTTCACATAACACAATCATTCTCTATACTATTTTTGCTTATCAAATTAGTTTATATTTCTTGTTTTGTAAAATATTCTATTAAACGTTCTTAAAAAGCAGATTCAATCTTTTAACAGAAAGTAGTCTGCCTACAGATAAATATCTCATGAGTTCTAGGTTAAACTAGGCAGTTTAAATGTGTACATTTACCTTGATCTCCTCTCAAAACTCCAATAAAATGACCGAGCAATAATGAAAAAATTTATATGAAAGCCACAAGATTAAGAAAACAAAGATACGAGGCAGGAAAGGCCAATAGTTTTGAACCTAGGAGATGGGTTAGTAATTATGCACCTCACTAGAGCTGAAAAGGGCAAGACATAGCTTCTGCAGAAGACAATGAGACACAAACTGATCCCGGCCACAGAACCTTGAAAAGGATGAGATTGGAGAAACACGGTATTTCTAAAAGCAGAAATAAGAAAGTGGGTGCTAAGTTTTTCAGAGAACATGTTGGCCACAGAGCTCTTTCCCTATTGTTTATAGCCACAGTGCTTCCCCACCCTAGCCCTGACAAGAAGAAATTTTGTTCTCCAGGGTCAACAGATCCTGAACTGAGACATCAAATCTAGTGGAGGCCAGTATGACCAGCATGCAAACATCAGACAGGGCGTGGGGGCCTGACATTTGACATGACAGGCAAGAAACCAGCTGAAATGCCTGACTCCCAAATCAGAGTGCCTGGATTCAAGTCCCAGATTCTGCTGAGTTACATACTGGGAGGACACAGGTGATGGCTCAAGTACTTGGGTCACTGCCACTCACATGGGAGTCCTAGATTGAGTTTCAGGCCAAACAGCAACTCTTGTGGGCATATGGGAGTGAAACAACAGATGGAAGCTGTCTCTGCCTTTCAAATAAATAAAATCAAAGTGGGTAAATGAATGTCCGTACCCTGAATGTGTCCACTCCCCATCTCTGTCTCACTCAGTTCCATCCCAACAGATTAGGGGATTCTTCTCTTAGAAAACTAAGCAGGCCAAGGGAAAACCTACAGCTACATTTCAGCTACGAACCTGGATGAGATGGTGAAGTTCACACCAGGCAAGAATTATAGTGAAGCCGACCAAATGACAGTCAAAAAATTTTCAAGAACAGAAAGCTATTCAAAAGTCATCCATAAAGCTTTTTGAAAAGATCTTTTGGATGCCAGTGTTGTGGCACACAAGTTAAGTTGCTGCCTGCAGACATCAGCATCCCATATTAGCTAGATGTGTCCTAGATTTGTGTTTGTGTCCCAGATGTTCCACTTCCAATCCAGCTCCCAGCTAATGTGATTGGGAAAGTAGTGGAAGATGGCGCGAGTGCTTGGGCCCCAGCCAATCATGTGGGAGACCCGATAGAGTTCCTGGCTCCTGGCACAGCCTGGCTGTTGTAGCTATCTGGGGAGTGAACAGGCAGATGGAAGATCATCTCTCCTTCTAACTCTATCAAATAAACAAGTCAATATTAAAAAATAAATCTTTTGGAAATAACAATTTTAAATCCAATATAGAAATATTGTGATATAAGGTTGAGATATTCTCAGAAGAGCTACAGGAGGAGGAGAAAGATGAGAAGATAGAAAATTGATTGAGAAGATCAAACATTTATGAATAGTTTCTGGAAAAGAAAATGTCAAAATCAGAGGACATAAAAAATTCTTAGAACTAAATGAGTATCTAAATTCAATGTCAGTGGTGGCTATCTGGCCAACAGTTAAGATGCTCAAAGCATCCTGGTTTCAATCCCTGACACTAACTCCCAGTTCCAGCCTCCTGGGGAGCAGTGGTGATGGCTCAAATACTTGGGTCCCTACCACTCATGTTGAAAACCTCAAATGAGTTCCTAGTTCCGGCTCAGTCCAGCCATTGCAGGCATTTGGCAAATGAATCAGCAGACAGGAGTTTCTCTCTGTGTTGGTCTCCTGAAAAGTAAATAAACAAATGTCAAGGATTTTTTTGGTAAACATTTTATTTGAAAGACAGAATTACAGAGGGAGAAACTGAAAAAAGAAATCTTGGGGCCACTGCTATGGCGAGGTGGGTTAAAGCCCTAGCCTGAAGTACGGGCATCCAATATGGGCGCCAGTTCAAGTCCCTGCTGCTCCTCTTCTGATACAGCTCTCTGCTAAGGCCTGGGAAAGAGGAGATGGCCCAAGTCCTTGGGACCCTGCACCCACATGGAGACCAGGAAGAAACTCCTCGCTTTGGATCAGCTCAGCTCTAGCTATTGCGGTCATTTTGGAAGTGAACCAGCAGATGGAGAACCTTTTTTTCTGTCTCTTTGTAACTCTATCCCTCATATATAAATAAAATATTTATTAAAGAAAGAAAAAAGAAATCTTCCAGGGGTCGGCACTGTGGCACAGGTTAATCCTATGCCTGTGGTGCCAGCATCCCATGTGGGCGCCGGTTCTATCCAGCTCTCTGCTATGGCCTGGGAAAGAAGTAGAAATTGGTCCAACTCCTTGTGCCCCTGTACCCACGTGGGAGACCCAGAAGAAGCTCCTGGCTCCTGCCTTCGGATCAGCTCAGCTCCAGCCATTGCAGCCATCTGGGAAGTGAACCAGCAGATGGAAGACCTTTCTGTCTCTCCCTCTCACTGTTCGTAACTCTACCTCTCAATAAATAAATAAAATCTTTAAAAAAAAAATCTTCCATTCACTAGCTCACTCCCCAAAAGGTCCCCAACAGTCAAGGCTGGGCAAGGCTGAACCAGGAGCCAGAAATCTGGAACCCCATCCAGGTCTCTGACATGCATGTCAGGACCCAAGTACTTGGGCCATCTTCCAATGCTTTCCCGGTACATTGGCAGAGAGATCAATGAGAAGCAGGATAGCCAAGACTCAAATCAGTGCTCCAGTATGGGATGCTGGTCTCACAAGTGATAGTTTACCACATGGAGCCACAGCACCAGCCTCAGTGTCAAAGTTTTGATTAAACAGACAGGAGGGCCAGCACTGTGACACAGTGAGTAAAGCCATCACCTGCAGTGCTGGTAGCACCCATATGGGCACTGGTACAAGTCCTGACTATTCCTCTTCCCATCCAGCTCTCTGCTATGGTCTGGGAAAGCAGTGGAAGATGGCCCAAGTGCTTGAGCCCCTGCACCCGCTCCTGGCTTCCTGGAAGAAGCTCCTGGCTCCTGGCTTCAGATCAGCCCAGCTCCAACTATTGTGGCCATTTGGGGAGTAAACCAAAAGACCTCTCCCTCTCTCCCCTCTCTATTACCCTCTCTCACCCTCTCTCCCTCTCCCTCCCTCACTCTCCCTCCCTCTCTCCCTCTCTCCCTCTCTCCCTCTCTCCCTCTCTTTCTCTGTAACTCTGCCTTTCAAATTAATTGATTGAAAAAACCAGAAAGGATAAAAAAGAAGGGAAATGTATATTTTTGGAGGAAAGGCTTAGGGAAGTATTATAAAATGAAATTATCTTTTTCATAGCTGGAAACAGAAAATTAAATTCATATATACT